TTTTTATTTTTTTGAGGGTTGTCGATTAGAGTACACAGCCAGAGCGGCCTTGAGATAAAGGGTGTTTGTGTAAGTGCTGTTGAGGGCACAGCTGAGGTTTAAGGCTTTGCTTTATTCAAAACAAACAACACGCTCACACTCTCCTCGAGACATTTTAAATGGGTTCTTGAAAAGAAAAAGATACTCTTTAAGGATCGTGCTGCACTGCAATCTGAGTCACTCTCAGAGAGCAGGGGAAAAAAAGAATTTTGAAATAAGCCTGTAATTAGATTCTTTTAGGCAAAGCAATCCCAAAATAAACTTTGAATAACGCTCTTTTTTTTTAACCCCCTTTCTTAATGACACTCTTATATCTCCTTGCAATTTCCTGTAGTCCCTCATTCCATAGGTCCCCGCTGAAAAGTCCCAAAACCGTCTCTTCCTGTTGTAAATCTAAATCGAGGAAGCAAAAAGGACTTCTTGCACAGAGGTCCTCGCGCTCATTCACACACATGGAGAGAAAAGCAGCACATGAAAACAGCCGTGCATGGCCTTGAGTGAGTCATCTAATATAGGGGGAGTGCCACAAACACACACACACACACACACACACAGCCGCGAAGCCGCAGCTTCACTGGCTTTCAACAAAACATCTATTCTAGGTCTCTTTCAAGTCGTGAGCGATCCTCCAATTTTGGGTAAGAAGAGTGGACGGAGACGCGGCGAGACACGTCAGACCTCTCCCTCTTGTGCAATCGCATGTAAAGCTGTTTTGGGATTGGGATCTGGAAAAACAGTTTGCATAACAGAAGCTCAGTTACGTGATGTTCGCTGTGCATGCTGAGGGTCCCGGTCTACATGTGGTTGTCATTTTAGGATTGTTTTTTTTTTGTTGTTGGTTTTTCTTTTCAACCAGCAGATGCTTGGGGAAACAGAATGAAGCGTCCATAGAAAACCTACTTTGGGCTGTTCCTCATTCAAATGAGATCGCCACAGCGGGCTGCTCCACATGTTTGATTTGTCAGTTTTTTTTTTCCCTTTCTTTACACCAGATGTGCAATGTGACAACCCCGAAGGGGTTTGTGTCTCCTCTTGGAATTGAACTAGGGAATCTGTGTAAAACATGGTCATTCTTCTGTTGGAAATTTGAACTTCGGAGGTGGAATTTTCAAGTGGAACAGACAGATTTTTACCTCAGAAAGTCGGAGAAGTCACCAGCCCCGAGATTGTGTACGTAACAATAGTGAAACTGTAAAACTCGTAATCTGGGGATAAAAAAAACAAAACAACACAGCATAGAATCACTTTGTTTTGCATGGTGATATTATATTGATCCAGGGACATCAAATGCAGATTTTTATTTTTATTAGGTGCATATAAACGCTCTGGGGGTTCATTGTCTGTACCATCTTTCTGATATAATGTTAGCATAGCAAACTTACATTAAATTGGCTAAACTGAAAAACTGTCCAACAGCGGACAAACACAGCTTGACAAAGGTGCTTTCTTATTCCGAGCAAGCTAATAGCTCAGTCGCATCGGTAAAAAAAGGATAAAGACCTCCTTCATCGCCAAAAAATAAAAATAAAAAACTGATTGTAATGAATTTTTTCACATTCTATAACCGATTGCAACTTTTGACTAAATGCTTGCCCAGACTTGCGGGTGTTTCACACTCACAACCATGGAGGCAACCTTTCTGGAGACAGTTGCCATCTTACTTGGACTGACTGCAATCTCTCTCAGAGAGATTGTTGAAGGTTTGCAGATAATTTCTGTCTAATTTATAAATGCAGACATATCAGCCCGAATGAGTCCCTGTCATTGAGCACAACTCGAGAAGACTTGACTCAACTTGCTGTGAGCTGAATGTTAGGTTATGTTCCTGTGGGACAGGAAGGTTGCTGAGCACAAATATAAAAGTTAATTTCTGTATATGTAGACAGAAGCCGACATGTGAACATCGATTTCTCAAAGTTAATTGTTGCATTATCAGAAAAGGGCTGCGTTGAAATGCCAGTATGACCTTTTTGCAACAAAAAAAATAACTGGAGTGAGATAATTTTATGTCTTTTAATAAAACAAGATAATGTTTAACTTTGAAGATGTGATTTGCACTTTTAAAAAAGTGATAAATTACAATGTATATTATTGCAATACTTGTAATATCATATTGTGGGTAAAGTATTGTGATAATATTGCATTGTTGGATCAAAACTATAGCTTAAGGCAGTGATTACCACCAATAAGCACTCTGTGGGCTCTTATACAGTTCCTAGAGGTACATGAATCAAAATCAAAAGCTAATGGATAGTCAGTTGGAATTGACAGTAAAATAAGTGCACAAATCAACACTAATCCTTTGTGCAGAAAAATAGTTGGGTTAAAGAGCTTTTTTTTTCATGAGGCTTCTTCTATATTTTTGCACCAGCACTGGCCATTAAACAGAAAGTTGTGTATAAGAGGTTGTTAAACAGAGACTCACCACTAAATGCAGCTTTTACTGAAGCTGAAGTTGTGTTTGTTCCTTCCAGCTGCTTCAGTTTGAAGCTTCTCAGGATCCACAGGTGCATCTCCACAGGAAGAGAGTTATGTGCATTAATTAAATCGTGTGGCTCAACAGCTGCGACTCGGTGAACTGATCGTAATTATCAAAATTCCTAACTTGGAGAGAAGATCGGTCAGGACTCCTTAATTATTTCTCGCTTGTGCTTATTGAAATCAAAAACATTTTGCTTTGTCCGCGTAAAATCTTGCAGTTTGCAGTATTATATCAATATGGTGCCTCTTTGACCATTAACGTTTAAATCCAGTGGTTTTTTTTATTGTATAAATATATCTATATATGTTATATATTTTATCTAAAATTCTGACTTAAAAAGTCCAAAATGATTAACTTAAGATGAAGCTAACAGCTAAAAATACATTTGGCTAAAGAAATTGTTAGCTAAACATCGTGGGTAAAAATTCTAGCT